AACGTGTAATATATAATAACTACACATCTACAAGTCTTTATTTCTGTTAATTGTAATGATTTCCACGTACAGCCAATGAAAACATGATATTTAAGACTAGAAAATTACATCAAACCAATAAAAATACATATTTAATACAAAAATCTGGCCTTAATCAAAAACCATGTTTAACACCTTTAACACTTTGTTATCTTAATCTGACCGGAACACATTTCTGGTTTATTTAATATGACAGTATGATCCTATTTGTCCCACATGTGTTCTAAAGGCCATTCATCTGACTGTTCATTGTCGTGACAGTGTTTGCTGCCCTCTAGTGGAGAGGTTTGATTTTTCCAGTTAAAAATATTAGGCCTTATAATAGCTTATATCCTATATGTCCTATAACTTATATCAAATATATAAATATATTATATTTATATATATTATATTATATGTTATGTCAAATATGATATATTTGATATAAATTATCTTTACTATACAATCTGTCAAGTGAACACATTACTAATGCTTGTGCTACCTTGCAAATTTTATATTTTATGCGAACAAAGATTTGGTTGCAAAAGGCAATTATACTATTTGAACTTTGTCATATCCTTTAATATTAGAACAATAAAAAATAGTCATAGTAAAAGCATTTACAGATTTCTAATAAATGTTTTTAGAAATTTGAAAGGTGTGGCATACATCTTTATTTAATCCCAACAAAACAACATTTTGTAGGACAATAGAACTTATTTTGGCCTATAAGATCGTGATAAAATATCTTAAAGTTTATAAAGTGACAAAATGTGCAAAGTTCAAGGATTACAAATACTTTCATAATTTATTCTTCAATAACACTTAGACTGGTCACAGGAATAAAAAACTTGTTTTCTATGTTAATGAATCTAACCATAAAACGCTGCAGTTTTAGTGTGGTCTGATTTACATATTTTAATAAATAATGTAATACATACGACCATATTTTTGAGAAACTGATTTATTTTACAAAAAAGCAGAAGACAATAAAAGTATAAAATAAAATATCACACTTTTGTTTGTTCTTTTTATTAATTAAGATCTTGATGCTTTTTTTTCAGCATTTTCAACTTTGCTATGATAAAGCTCTGAAAATTACTAGATTAGTTATTCTAATTTGTTTCAAACAGCTATGCATATTTTCCTGTAAATTTGCAGTGGTATGCTAAATGATAATTAATAACAATACACCAGATGAAAATTAAATAAAGATAAATTTAAAATGAGAAAATTAGACTTTTCAGGGAATTCTTTAATAGATGCTTCTCCATTTTCATCCTGGAAAATGCCTGTTTGCTTCTTTCATCCTTTCCTAATTGTTTCCTTTTTCTTATTTTGTATGCAAATGAAACTTCTCCCAGTTCAGCAACAAACTGGTTTAAAATTGACTGACATCATGCAGAGAGCACTAAGAGGGCATTGTGATGCATAACAGCTGATCCCAAAGGTCACACAGTCATTAGAAGAATAACAAAACAAAGGATATAAAGCAGGGAATATTACTTAGACAGGATAATGCATTTATGTAAATAAAAGAAAAAATAAATTAAAAAAAGAGAGAAAATCTGTAACAAGGCTTTCCCACAACGTCTGAGTTGAATTTTTCTACTAATTTAATTTCAATTTGCTTTACGGCTAAAAAAGGACAAAAACTTTAAAATAAATGTAAATATAACCCACCCACCCAGTCAACTGTGTTAGCGCCTCTCTCTGTCATCCCACTTGACTGCAGCTGTTGTTGCAGCAAACCTCCGGTTCTGTTCAGTCCAAATGCCGGTTCCTGTTGACGCGGCGCCAGCTCCATGCCAGATTATCAAGGCGGACGCTGACAAGTGGTGAGTTTTAACACTAATTTCTGGCAGTAAATACACATTGGATCTGGACAATAAAGTGAATCCGTGCCAACAGAAACTTTATTGACTCCATCAATCACAGATCATTTGTTTACGTTGTTTGACAAACCACAATAGAGCTTGAAGTCCAGGAACACCAAGGTCTTAAGATGCATAAATAGATCAGAAGCCTAAAATAGACTCCACACATGAGGAGCGGCACATACAGTACCAGGGTGTCAACTCACGTTACAGAGCCACGTTTATTGGCACCCAAGGTAAGGATGTCAATAAAAATAATTAAATGGGTCAATCTTTTATTCCAGAATAGTTCTTAAGAATCTGACAGTAAAAACAAAAAACAGCTTTTAATTTAAGGATATTTAGTCACTTGGGGAAGGAAGACTGTGTAACAAAACCATTATTGTTTTTAAATTAGCACCAGTGACACTATTAGTCGTTCCTCTAACATTTGACAAGGAGGAAGCAGACAGAGACGATCGCTCTCCTTTGCTATCCTATTTTTAAGCTCACCCTCTAAACATAGAAGAAGCATTCATTTTGGATAATTTTTCTGTTATTTGGGTCATATGTTTTGATTTATTATCCTGCCAAAAGACTGTCGTTATGACCAACTTTACATTTACTGATTGAAGCCAAGAGATTATTTAAGATGAACTTATATTTCATCTACATGGTGGAGCAGTTGGCAGAACTGTTCAGAGGTGGATAGTAACTGGATGCATTTACTCAGTTACATTTACTCGTGTAACTTTTTTGGGGGAAAATACTTTTAGGAGTAGTTGCACATTTTTACTTACTAAAGTAATATTATAATTAATAATTCCTAATCTTACTTGAGTAAAAATTGGGTTACTCTGCTCACAGTGAGTAACTTCTGAATGAAGAACAAACACGATTTGAGCAAAAATACACCAGACACATACCTAAAGTTTGTTGAAGTGAGACCTCTTGTTTCTACACAAGCTTTGTTAATCTGATGTAATTTTCTGTCTGCTGAACTTGTTGCTGCATTTAGAGATCAAATAAATATCTGGTGAACACCATATACTGTCACTGGAAGTACTTCTTATTCTGTTCTCAGATATATTTACATTACCTTCTGTGAGTGTTGACATATTGAAAAAACTGATTTAGAAAATTATTTCTTCTGCTTGAAATTTATTTTGAAACTTTCACTTATAAGCCTTTTCATTTTAGTCTTTAAAATACCAGAATTTGCACTGCACATGACTTTATATTTTTGTCTGATGACATCATTGTAAAATATTAAATCACATGTTACTTAGTACTTCCATAGATTGAATACTTTTTTACTCTTTAAATAATTTCATGCTTGTAGTCAGGTGATAACGTTACCTCTTGTTTTAACATTTATTTAATCTTCTTACTTTTTTCAATTTAGTTTCAAAAATGATATATATTAAAGCAAATAATGTAGATTTTACTGGTTTTAAATTATTTTTTTTTATGTTTTTCTTTTTACTCACAGATGCATTTTATGGATCATAGTTAAAAACTTTTTTCCTTCTGAAAAAATGTACTGGAATTAAAGTCTGTTTCTTTATAAATACAGATTTTCTGTATGAAATCATGCAACAAGAGCAATAAAACATGAATTTAACGTACAGCTTTTTACACAACAGATTTGTTTGTCACTTTAAGAAGGAGCAGATATTTGGTGATGGATCTTGTTCCTGATGACAGTTTACAAAGATGCACAAATTTGAGCTGCAAAAAAGAAAAACTTAGCAGATTACAGTAAAAAAAATCCACTGATGTACTTCTAGAAAACATTTAGCATGTTTGTAATTCTATGTTGACTAATTTCTATAAGGTGTGTGTTTGTGAGTACAGACTAAGTGTGTCCTGTCTTGTGTTACAGCGTTCTAGAAAAGAAAGCGGTGGCCTGCCAGGATCTGATGGATGCTTTCCACGCCTGCATAAAAACTCTGTGTGACGGATCCTGATAAACGAAGAAACATGGATTTAAAAAGTAAGTTCACATCCCTACAAACTATCACAGCCTGCCTTCTTCTGGGAAGGCTTTGGTTATTTCATTGCTTTCCTAAATAAACCTTGTACCATAAACTTTGTATGAAAAATCTCTGCTTTGTCTGAATCTTATTAATCTTAAGGAGAGAAAGTGTTTGAAGTCAAAGATTTTTACTTGGAATCATTCTCACAGCTAGTAACACATTAACCAAATTTTGCTAATCGGTGAAGCTAATGTTTGTTTCTTCCTCTTTTTCTTCCTTCTTCTTAGGTTGCGTTCAGGCGGCCACCAGTTAAAGGTTTTTCTACCTTCCAGATCTTCCAGTGAGGAGAAATATGGAACAAACTGAGTTACCAGAAAAGTCAAGATGAATGTGATTTCAATATGTCCAACAGCACAACACTTGTTTAAATTAAAATAATGCAAATGACATATAGATCCAGCGTGTCTTTTTCTGGCATGATGTTTGATCCTTAAACAGCAAGATGGAGGGAAATCTACATCTATAATAAATAAATAAAATTATTTATTTATTATAAATAATTTTATAATAAATTATTATAAAAAAATTATCACGATAAGTGATAAACTATGTGATAAATACCCAGCTGTTCTTACAGCAGGTGACTAATTATTTATTCTGGAAGCAATCATTTTTCCTCAACAGTATAAAAGTATAAAAAGGGGGCATTAATACAAATACACTCCACACTTTTCAGATCTGTATTTGTAACAAAAACATTTGTGTTTTTCTGTCTCATTAAAATCCTAATTAAATATATTTCAATTTCTAGTTGTGAACAAAAGAGAAAAAGTTCAAGGGGGCATAAATGTTTGCAAGGAACAGTTACAAAAAATATCCCTGCCGTGTTAAATAAAGTACTGCAGGCCTACCAAGTTATACTGAAATCTCTCTGGGCCAGCAGCTCCTCATCGTCCCATCCGCAGCCTTAGCCGATGTTTACACACGTCTTTTCATAATAACAGGGAGGGAGGTGTCCTCTGCGGCCCACGGAGCCCACGGTGTGGCAGGTGCTGAGGTGAATGCAGAGATAAGCGTATTTTGAGGAAGGCGACCAGGAGGGCGGGGAAGAGAAGCCAAGAGGAGAGAGGATGGAGAGCGAGTGAGACCCGGATGCTGATGCGAGCGGGGCGAAGGAAGGGAAGAGGGGAGCGAAAATATCGATTTACGGCAAGAAAACGGAGTATCATCCAAGGGGGGCCTTTCGCTTGCGTGAACTGGGATCCGAAACGAGGAGGAAGATAAGCTGATTTGTGCGGTGTTGCTTCACCTGTATGTGTCACCGCCCATGGAGGACACGCCGAAGGAGAGGAGAGGGGGAAGAAGATGCTGTGATCCGCCACTTGCAGTGATGTAGGGAGGCAGAGACGAGCAGAGGCAGGGGACGGGGGAGGACTACGCTACGCTAATGAAATATAACAAATATATAAATACATATACATGTAAGAAGATGGTTGTCCGGAGAGGACTGCGCGTTTCACCTCGAGAATCCGAGATAATGTGGCAGCCGTGCGATAAAAGTGACCGTTTGGCGACGCCGAGAAACTTCAAGCGGGGTCGGTGTTTGTGACAGGCGCGAGACGGCCGTTGGTCGAGGCGTCGAAGCTAAAGCTAGCCTCAGATAGCATGTTGTTGCACCTGTAAAAACAGGCCTGACTGAGGAAAAAATAACTATTATCACGTTTTCGGAGCAAACATCTAAGCGTACGTGTTGGACATTTCGTTCTTACGCTCAAACAGAAAATGACATAAGTAAAGGCTTTAAAGCAGACGGCTTGTTTTACAGCTATAGGTTAATGACATATATATGTAGTTAACGTCATAAATGTGACTAAATTACACCAATAAGCTAATGTACATACGTAAAACATTCTAGTTAGCCTGCAGTACCTTATCATGTTCATTTTAAGGACAGTGGTTGGTATTTAACTCAGTAAGCAGCCTCGGTACAAACTGTCATCCCAGTTTCTCTGCTTTAAACTATATATTTTTGTTTTACTGTCTTAGAACAGGAAACTATTTATCTCAGCTTAATTTTATTTCCAAATGGTTTGACTTGTGTGCTATTTCATGATACATGTTAGTAAACTAGAAATAGCTGTGATATCCCTGAAATTTAAAGTTGAGCATAATTTCTTGCACCAACCTATGTAAAACCTGTACAGTACCAGATAAATTGCAATAAATCCCAGTGCAGTATTAGTTCTAATTGTGTATTAAGCCTTCAGTGGGAGCAGTATGAGTAAGGAACTGTCTCTGAGTCAGTCTGCTCAATATGTTGGGCCCTATCGACTGGAGAAGACTCTGGGGAAGGGACAGACAGGTGAGAGGACACACACCCATTGTAGAATGAACAATATAAAACTGAACCATACTGAATCAAAATGATATATGTCTCTTTTCTACATTCAGGACTGGTCAAACTCGGCATCCACTGTATTACGGGTCAGAAGGTAGCAATCAAAATAGTCAACCGCGAGAAGCTGTCTGAGTCAGTTCTGATGAAGGTACGTGGCTGTTCTCAAAAAAATACACGGTGTTAAAACAAAAATGTATAATTGCTTTTACTCAAAACAGAAAAGCAGGTGTTATTTATAGCACTTTTAAAACACAATTATGGATTGGTTATTACAGTTATTATAATGTTGACTGCTAGTATTCCTGAATAAATTTTCGGGTGGTATTGTTGCTTTCTGCCTCAAAGTGTAATCTATCTTTTGCTGCTGAATTTGGCCCAAAACGCATCATCTTTGGGCTTTCAAGCCCATTGGGAATATGGAACCAGCTTTTGTGATAATTAAACCTTTGAAAAGCAGGACTTTTATTTTAAAAAGTTTCTGTGAGCTATGTTTTGGAATTTTAATCAGAATTATTTTTTTTACATTCTGAGTTTAGATCCTTTAGCAACTTAAAGTCTTGTTTTGCTTATATTATTATGTAGGAGTAAACCATTTCTTATTTTTCATTAGTGGTCTAGCTTAGTTAGGGATTTTCGTAAATTATTAAACTCTTTCTGTACTTGTAATTTCTGTAATTTCTGTAATTAATAATTTTTTGTAATTAATAATTTGGAAGCTAGATTTTGAAAAATCTAGCTTCCAAATTATTAATTGGAAAAACTAAAAGAGTGCCCCGTAAAACTCAACGTATAAATTTGGCTTCTATAAATTTGAAAAGTATTTCTGAGCTTTATTTTGAAAGTTCATATTAAGTTGCAGTTTTATATAGCTAAAAGTTATACTTGTTTGGCTTTCCGCTCTTTTTAGAGTAACACAAGTAAAACAAGTTGATATTAGCTTGTAGATTAGTCAGGATACTGACTGACTGTTTATAGAGACTAAATTTGTCTCTTTTAAGCAAGGTTGAAGTTTAGTAGCCTTCTTTCAGCCAGCTGATTGGCAGTGTGCAAAAACATCTCTAATTTACAGTGAAATACCGACAGCTGTGGTTGCCAGTATTTTACCGTATAAATATGGTACAATTTTCTGGTAAAATAAAAATTTTACTGTAAAGAAAAAAATTCTGGCAACTACATCTGCTGGTATTTTACCGTAAATTTGTTTTTTCAGTGAAGCAATAGGTGGGGGAAGGGGACACTGTCAATGTTGCGTGCTGTATTAAACTACTGGCATTTCTCCTTTATTTATTGTCTACGTACTTTAACTCTGATGCTTCAGAACGATCACTGCTGTCTGGCTCTGTAGCATTTTTGTCTTTATCTTCTGTTTAACCAGGTTGAGAGGGAGATTGCCATTCTGAAACTGATCGAGCATCCGCATGTGTTGAAGCTGCATGACGTTTATGAGAACAACAAATATCTGTGAGTTCCTCCTGCAATTTGGGACAATTCTAGCTCAATAAGAAGTTATGATAATAATGAAAACTTGCGAATTAGATGGAGACCAGTACTACTTTAGGAAGGGTGAGACATTTTTATTTTTCAAACATTTATCTGCCATGTTTTAGTGCCACTAAAAACGACCCTGTCTAAAAATGATGTGGCCCTTAATCAGATTTTATAAGCTAAGATTGTAAACATAAATCTACAAATATTTGCTCCCTCAAAGTGCCGACATGGATTGGGCATCTTGTTCCAGGAATTATTGACGTTTTGAGATCATTTTGGGCTCCTGTGGTTCCAAAACTTTCCAGCTTCTGACCCACAAAGTAAAAATGTAAAAGGGTCGTGACCCCGAATCTTGCTTGAGCATACAAGTGTTTTTATTGAGTCAGTTAAAAAACGGTACAATGGCAACATAATCTGCATCAACAGCCAATGTGTTGCTTTTATTTATCCAAGTCCTGTTTTTTTAATCTTCTGCACTATTTCTTAAATACATATACTTTCTCATTTCTCCTTTTGGTATTTAGTAGTTAAGCCAGATAATTTTAAGACTCCCATGCGTCTCAACATTTATACTAACTGCAAAAACATATTCTAAATAATTTGTTTGAGATGTTCTGTAGCTGACAAATATAGAGACATAAAAATAACAGCAAACAAAGCTAACATCAGAATGTCACCAGCTGTATATTTTTGCTGTATTTATTTCAGTGGGTGTGAAAATGAAACTCCTATCTAAACGGTTTTTGTTTATTATAGCACCAAGGAGATAAAATGTTAATTTAATGCAAGTAAATATAAACCTGGAGGAGTCAGCCGTCTTGGAACTGGACATCATAAACACATCCATATAAACAACCCTGAGGCAGAGGGATTTCAGTCCTGACTCTGTCTGCTGAAGGATGCAGTCTCACTGTGGTGTTCTGACAGATACCTGGTGTTGGAGCATGTGTCAGGAGGAGAGCTGTTTGACTACCTGGTGAAGAAGGGGCGTCTAACTCCGAAAGAAGCCAGGAAGTTCTTCAGGCAGATCATCTCTGCGTTGGATTTCTGCCACAGTCACTCCATCTGGTTGGTTTTTCGCTTTTGGAGCTCTGGCTCTGAGATCTTTTTTGACCGAGTCAGAAATAGATTTCTGACTCGGTGTGTGTGTGTGTGTGTGTGTGTGTGTGTGTGTATATGTGTGTGTGTGTGTGTGTGTGTGTGTGTGTGTGTGTGTGTGTGTGTGTGTGTGTGTGTTGTGTTTTTGCAGCCACAGAGACTTGAAGCCGGAGAACCTGCTGCTGGATGAGAAGAACAACATTCGTATTGCTGACTTCGGTATGGCCTCCCTGCAGGTGGGGGACAGCCTGTTGGAGACCAGCTGTGGGTCAGTACCAGCCCTGTGTGTTAATACAGAACCAGGCTAATTTATGAGCAAAGATGTGAGCAAAGCATTAAAACTAACGATCCAGTATTAATATCTGCATCGGTCCCGATATTGAGAAAAAAATCTACATTGGGTATTGTTAACAATGTGTCCAATCTATACAGTCTAATTCTATGTTTTGTGCTCTGATCAATGTCATCCTTTATCATATATCTTACATTATATTTACACTTTCTGAACCATTCGGAAGAAAGTTTGTTATAGTTTATTTCTACGTTTGACCAAAGTAGCAAACTTATTGTTTTTGTCACTTTTACATGTTTTGTTTTACTTCTAATTGACCAAATTAAAGTTGTTTTTATAAATTTGACCGAGCTTGTGAAGCTATCGGTGTATTTAAGTGTGCAGAGTTATAAAGTACATTTGTAATTCAGTACGTTTACATCTGTCTTTAAAAAAAAAAGAAACTTTCATTTTGGATTTGGTGAACCATTTCTTTGATAATTACATATTAAAGTTTGGATCATTAAACTGTCTAAAATCCAAATCATTTTAATTTAACTGACAAAACTCTTCAGATCACCAGATATTAAGTTTTTAAAGTCTGATATTTTGAGAATGCTGTGGTGTTATGCACTCCTTTGTGTAAAATTATGCTAATACTATTAAAGATGCAAATATTTGAAGGTTTTTACGCATCTTTACTGGGGTTCCCAATACGTGAGGTTTGCAGAAACAGAACTTTCCATTAGCCACTGAAGCTAAAACCAGCACATCTTAGCTTTTACTCTTTTGAGGAGTCCATGTTGTTAATTCCCTTTTTTATGCAGTTATCACTACTCCTGCCTTCACCTCAGTATTTATAGAAATATTAACATGTCCTATAACACGTTTTTCTTTGATTTCAGATCACCACATTATGCCTGTCCTGAAGTTATACGGGTGAGTGCCTTTACCTGTGATGGAAATGAGCAAATGATGTGATTAAATTATTGATCCTGAAGCAAACGCGGTGAGCCACACGAGCTGAACACCCAGCGATGGCACTAATGATTTGAAAACCATTGAAGGTAAAGGTGAAATCTCTCAAACTGACGATAAATCTGGACCTGTGTTGCTTTTATGGGGCTCATCTCTTGTCAAAGTGAGTTTTCGCACTGCGCTCAGCACTTAAAAGATTATCCTGCTCCATGAAATAAATGTTGTTTTCACAGTGTCGGTGGAGACAGAATAAGTACAGGGATTAAAATGGATTACAGAGTTTCTTTTGACAGAAATGTAGCCATGTTTAAGCTTGTGTAACTCATAACTCAGGTAAAGTAAGTGAATTCTATTTGAATCAACTTTAGATTTGTAATATCCTGTCTTACAGGGAGAGAAGTATGATGGGAGGAGAGCGGATGTGTGGAGCTGTGGGGTCATCCTGTTTGCCCTTCTGGTGGTCAGTTTTAACCTCCAGTGTTCAGTTTTATTTTCATTTGAAATGTTTTTCACTCTGTCATTTCCTGCTCTCCCTCTTACCTTCAGGGTGCTCTGCCGTTTGACCACGACAACCTTCGCCAGCTCCTGGAAAAGGTGAAGAGCGGCGTCTTCCACATGCCGCACTTCATCCCCCCAGACTGCCAGTCGCTGCTCAAAGGCATGATAGAGGTTAACCCTGAGAAGAGGCTCACGGTACGCTACCCGCATCCACTGGTCGAAATTATAAAAACTTTATTGTAAAATTACATTTGTAGCATGTGATAGTGATACAGTTGACATAGGAAATGCATTAAACAATCAAATCCCCAAAGTAATTACAAGTAATGGAAAAACAAAAAAGAACAAGTCACCACTAAGCATCATTTTCTGAATTAATTTCCTTCATAATTAATTTCCTGAGTTTACTGAGAAATTCAGTAAACGGTGGCCATATTTCTTCAAAATTGACTCCCTTTCCTCTATCAATATAAGTGGTACAATCCATGATGCCACATATGATTTGACTGTGCATATTTTAGGATTTTAATGTGATAAAACAAGACATAGCAGTGCATAATGGTGAAGTGGAAGGAACAGTGTTTCTATTGCATTCTGTTCAGTCCCACTGACTCTGAATTTAATTCAATCTGAGAGTAAATGCTGCTGTTTTATTAAAGCTTCAGAGCATTAATCAATAATCAGGATTGACTGGGATCCACCAGTAAAATGGCTCAGATTTCCTTCATTTTGGGTGATTATTGATGAGAAACTGATCTTATCCGTTTCTACAGAGCTGGTAAAATCAGCCACTGTCTCATTTTGTTGTGACAGGACCGGATTTAGAAGGATGTGAGTCCCTAGGCTGGAAATTTTCTGTTCTCTTCCATTCCAGCAAGGAGTAAAGTTGTAAACTTGGATTTGGCATTCATTATTCTGAGATAATAATATTCAAAGCAAAAAAAAAAAAAAGAAAGAAAAACTCAGCCCAGCTCTGCAGCCATCTGGCCGTGAACAGACTGTAGAAACTAATGGCCCCATCTGCCCTGTTCCTCTTACAGCTAGAGGCCATCCAGAAACACTCCTGGTATCAGTAAGTAAACATTCTTTCTCTCTGCAGTCAGAAGATGCTGCACCATATTTTGAAGTTAATCCCCGTTGTTTGTGATTTGTCGTGTCGCAGGGGCGGTCGTAACGAGCCGTGTCCCGAGCAGCCTCCTCCCAGGCGGGTGTGTGTGCGGAGAATCCTGTCGCTGACCGAGTTGGACCCGGATGTGTTGGAGAGCATGCACTCTCTAGGATGTTTCCGCGACCGAGTCAAGCTTACCCGTGATTTGCAATGCGAAGAGTAAGAGTGCTGAGAACTTTAGTGTTCATCCACCTGTCCTGTCATCTTAGTGGATTAAAGGGGCGGTGGTATTGAATATCTACTTTTGTGAGCTTTACGTCATGTCATAATGTTATCAAAAACATACCTAGAGATATATGGGATTTGAGAAATCCTTTAATCTCCATGGCAACCATTCAGCTGTGCAAAACGTCTGGGTGGGTCTAGCTCCACCTTCAAGGAGCTGCAGTTTCCAAGCTCTCATGCTTCCACACTACAGAGCACATATTGCCCCATGTCCCCCCAAACTCTGCTCCTTCAGACTAGCCAACAGCAATTAGCAAACACCTGGCAGAACTGCACATCTGCTGAGCTCATTGTAGGAGCTACTTCTAAAAAGCTGGTAAAAACGTTGTTAAAGGGTTAATAGAAGAGCCACTTTGTGATGACTTCCTGAAGGCAGAGTTTCAGAAAGAGAGTTTTTAAAGAGACAGAGGCCCAATTTTAAGAGTTTAAATCACCTAGGGATATTTATTTAATATCATATTTGATATATAACATTTTTATAACAACTAAAGGTAAAATAGTAACTTCATTGTTCTATAAAATGGCACTATGCGCCTGGAAAAGACAAAATACTGACTCTTTAAGGCATAAATAAAGCATTTTAATTGGTTTAGAAATACATATCTTGAAAAGATTAAATTTAAACATAAGCATGTGGCTTTAAATTTTGGTAGAAAGGTAGAAAATTATTTCTCCATTAACATTATCTTGTGCAAAAAATGTGTATGAGACATTGTTTTTATATTTAGAGAAAACCAGGAGAAGATGATCTATTACCTACTGCTGGACAGGAAGGAACGGTACCCAAGCTATGAGGACGAGGACCTGCCTCCACGCAATGACGTTGGTGAGCCAGTAGGGGGCAGGAGCGAACCGCTCCAGAGGGGAAGCTGCTTTTATTAGCTTCTTGTGTCCACATTTTGGAGGGCTGATCCAATTGATTAGATTAATCACAATAAATCGATTATGAAAAATATTGTCAGCTAATTTAGTAATCAAATAATCATTAACTGGAGTATACAGACATTAAAACATGCCATTTTTTTAAAAGAACAAATGGCCAACACTGTATCAAAAATCAATTCATTTTTCATTTAGGTTGAAAAATATTCTTTTTCTGTAAAGATATTCTATCGAGAACTCCTAAAGTGGTCATTCAAATTATGTTAATAAAATCTGCTATTAAGCATCTTTTTATCCAGTTATTAATTGGTTTATCAAAAAAAGAAATTTAATGTCAGTATCAATGTTAGGTCAAGCAGAAAGGACTGAGCTTTTCACATGGTGGTGTTAAACATATTGCTTTAGTTTCTATAAATGATCAAGCATCCTTTGAATGAATGCTCTCTGATTGTACTTTAAGTAATAAATGTTTATTTTCTTACTTAAATAAATTATTTATTTATTTGCATTTTTTAATGCATATTGTTTAAAATGAACTTTAGTGATTAAATGAAAAATTTGCAGGAATAGAAAATTTCATTCATCCGATTAATTAATTAATTATCAGAATAATCACTAAAATGCTTGATTACTACAATAGTATCTTGTTGCGTATCTTGCCAAACAATTAAACTGTTATAGCTCCTCTTAAGTGGATCATCGTATCCCTATTTAAGACCCCGTGTCATTTAAAATGTGTTTGTAATTAGAACCACTGACAGCCACACTGGGTCTGTTATAGAGCTGTCCTGCTTGCTGCACTGGTTGGAAATCCAGTTTAAAGCTGACAGAACGCGTTGTGTTTTTTCAGCAGACCCTCCCCGGAAGCGTGTCGACTCTCCCATGCTGACGCGTCATGGCCGCTGTCGCCCTGAGAGGAAAAGCCTAGAAGTCCTTAGTGTTACGGAGCAGGGGTCTCCCACTCCACCTCGCAGGGCCCTCGACACAGCTGCACACAGTCAGAGGTAAGTGTGTGTACATTAAACACAAAATTCTCTCTTTATAGACGTTAAAAGTTCATTTTACTCTGTTCTTTGTCACTTTTATGCTGGTTATTTTCAACAGGTCTCGCTCAGTCAGTGGAGCTTCTAGTGGTCTCTCCTCAAGCCCCCTCAGCAGTCCCAGGGTAAGGACTTCACAGACTTTTAATGCACTTTATTACACAATGTAATAATCTTTGTGTGTTAATCTTGTGTCTAATGCCTCTTTTAGAAATGATGATAGTTGCTTCTAGCAATCAATAATTGATATTTTCTGTAGATTTTTACAGCGAACTCCCTCACTAATCACTCTGATAAATATCAACATCAATTTGTGGTCAATATTTTCAGATGAAACTGTTTAATATGAATCAACTTTCCACAATCTTTTCTGTACTATCCATATATCAGTGTCTCCAGTCATTTATACACATCATCACACCACTTCCAGCTCCTCAAATTTAAATCTTTCTCAACAGGAAGTTTGCATTTTCTCCCTTTATGTCATCTCTCTGCCTCCCTGAGCATGTACGAGAACAACTAGTGGTTGTTTACTGAAATAAAGTAGTTTCAATTTGAAGCCTACAGTAACAGCCTCACTGTCCTGTCTCTGCACTTTAACTTCGTCTCTGCCACAACACTAAACCCTCTCATATCAATAGTTTTTGGAAAAAGAATAAAACAATCAAACTCAGGGCTTCCCCAGTGGTAGGGATGCTAGGGCAGTCATCCAGCGGCCTACCGTGATCTTGAGTTTAAAAATGTTTAAAGTCGGCAGGAAATTTGAAGATATCTCTAGGTAATTATGTATTATTGGAAGGCATTATTAACAGTACCTAACATCATCTTGAAAAAGGCAAATATAAAAAATACAATTAAAGTAAATACTTGTATTGCAGTTCAGTTATTTCATCCTAATTAAATTATCCAACTTGTTTTGATTAGAGGTGCACTGATTTATCAGTTGGCCGATTTATCGGTGCCGATTTTCTTAATTTTGGGAGATCGGTGATTGGCCAATTTTTTTACATGTGAAGCCGATCATATCCACTGATCTTATCCGCCTCTGCATAGGTCTAAAAATCAACCACTGTCCTCTTCTGCTCTCCCTTTAGAGAGGTTTGTTGACAGACCAGCCCACCAGGTCATGTCTGCACGTTTGTATTTAACAATAGCTACCCCACTGTTGCCAATTCAGCAACTCTCTTGCTATAAGAGTTGAATCCAGAGAAAAAAATTGGTATTGGCCAAAATAGGAATCAGCAGGTAAGGCTTTTTAAAAGTTTGGTTATCAGGGATCGGCCAGAAAACTGTAATCTAAGTTTTGATCCTTAATCTGTGACTTATCACTTTATTCTCTGAAGTTGTTAGCATGCAGACCAGTAAAGACAGGAAGTGGTTCCTGTGAATAGAGAAACACACCTGACCCCAGCCACCCCATGTGTTCACATTCTGACCTCACCATGTTGCCATTTTGCTTCCAATCGTTTCACCAAAGAGACTCTTCAACCTGCCTTTGGTATCAATGTTACTGGTGTATAAAACACCTCTAATAAACAAACACCAAAAGTAAAGCCTGGTGGCCCGCCAGGCCTATGAAACACTGAGGGAAACCCTGAAACTGAAGCTTTCATAATCCGCAGTTCGATTTGCATTGAGCACATTCACTGTTCATAAGGTGCACTCTTCTGTCATTAAGCATGATATTCATTTCCATCCTTTCTCCATTTTCCATCCCTTCTCTTTCTTGTTTTCCATCTCTCCTCCCCCCACCACTCCCACACTCCTCCAAACCCCCCACAGTCCTACCAGAGCCCCGTCTTCACTTTCAGCCAATCAGACGTCACCTGTGCCACTGCTTCCCCCCTCACAAAGGAGTCCAAACAGGGAAACGCCACCACTCCTCGTTCAGCACGGTCTCATGACAAGCCCAAAGCGTCCCCCAACCCCAAGACCCAGACCCTGCCCACCAAAGGACCCGCCGACCGTCCCCACCTGCAGGCCATCAAATCCCTGCCCCTGCACAACCCATCCTCCCGCTCGCCCTCCCCCTCCCCGCTCCTGTCACCCATCCCTCGCTTCTTCTTCCCTTCGTCCTCTGTCCTCAAGTCAGTGACTAAGAGTTTCTACCCAAACTCTGCCCACTCTGTGCCACAGGTTACCCCCCAGGGCTCTCCGCTGCCCACACCGTTGGGCACCCCTGTTCACCACCCCCACCACCCCTCCTCCACCCCGCCCTCCTCTTCCTCGTCCTCATCCTCATCACGGGCAGAGGGAGGCGGCGGGGTGGGCTCGCTGTCGCTCACCCCTCCCTCCAGCCCAGGAGGGGGCGGCGGCATGGCGGCCAGCAGCCCCGCTCACTGGAGGACTCGCCTCAATTCTTTCAAGAACAACTTGCTGGGATCGCCGCGATTCCATCGCCGCAAATTACAAGGTGAGTTTCTACGTTAAGTTACAATAAACCAGTATTTATGAACCTTCTCTGTCAGATTACAACCATAGACTTTAAGCTGGGATGCACTGATCCACTTTTTTCATTTCTGATGCTGGCGCAGATATCTGAGGTTTAGTATCGTCTGATATGATCCAATACATAATAACAGCACTGACTTACATAAATGGACTGAATTACAAATTTATTTGATAACTCTGCACCAGTGCAGCACTTTTACACCAATAGCTTCACAGACTTGGTCAAACATGTAAAAACAACGTTAATTTGTTCAGTCAGTGGAATTAGAAGTAGAACAGCTAATGTAAAATAAATAATAAAGAAATGAAAACTGACATCTAGAATTTTTTTCTATCGGGACCAATACAGTTAATGTTGGATCGGTGCATCTCTAGTTTTAAGTAATAGGCGAACATAACGGTGAATTCACACTTAAACTACTCTGGTTTTCAACATGTTTTGGTTGCTACTTTAAACCCATAAAGTACGCTGAGGTTTGTGTTTGTAATGAGACCAAAACAAGGTGAATCTAGGATACGACCTCCATGACTTCCAGCTGTTTATGAAATTATCTTTAATTTAGATCTTTCTCTCCCAGTTCCGACGTCAGAGGACATGTCCAGCCTAACGCCAGAATCCAGCCCAGAGTAAGACTCCTGCCTGCTCTTTAATTCTCCCAGTATGCCTCTCCTGCGTTCTCGCTCACTGTTTGCAATTTTTAATTTGCCGTCAAGGCTGGCCAAGAAGTCCTGGTTCGGGAATTTCATCGGTTTGGAGAAAGAGGAGCAGATCTTCGTGGTGATCAGGGACAAACCGTTGAGTTCTGTCAAAGCCGACATTGTCCACGCTTTCCTGTCAGTGAGTATCTGATGCGGTCTGTCCTACGCGCTGCTCTCTTGTCAGCTTTTATTTGTACATGAGCATGACTCTCTGGGGGAGAAAGGCATTCACATGCACTCTCATGCTGTGCACCTCATTGCTTCTCATTATTTCACTCTTCTCTGTTTAATTTCTGTTTGAGCTCGCTCACTTGTGGCACGAGGCACTTTGCTTTCACCAATGGCTCACTCTCTGTCTCTCCTGTCCTCACCCTCACCCTTTGTCTCCCCTATGCTCACGTCGGACCCCTTGTACCTCTCCCGCCTCGTAAGTCTGTCGGTCTCTCTGCTTCTTCTCTCTCTCCCCACCACGCAGATCCCGTCGCTCAGCCACAGCGTCATCTCCCAGACCAGCTTCCGGGCAGAATACAAGTCCTCCGGCGGTCCCTCCGTCTTCCAGAAGCCCGTCAAGTTCCAAGTGGACATTGCCTTCTCCGAGGGCGAGAGGGAACGGGACAGGGAGAGGAGCGAGAGGGAGGGGAGGAGGGAAACAGGAATCTACAGCGTGACGTTCTCCCTCATATCAGGCAAATGACGTACTTTTAAACGGGAAGGCTTTATGTCACAGTCACATGATTTCTATCTATCTATCTATCTATCTATCTATCTATCTATCTATCTATCTATCTATATATATCTATATATATATATATATTAACCCCATTGAATCCCTCCTAGTTATTCCATCTGAGTTAGTAGTATTGTTGTTTCTTAATGAATATGAACTTCTTTCCTTTGCATTATTTGAGGTATGAAAGCACCATTTCTCATTTTCTTCAAATACTGTAAATACACATTTTTGGCTAGGAATTTCGAATGAAATGTTGATTTTACTCAAACATGTACCTAGAAAGAGTAAAATCAGAGAAACGGATCATTTTGCAGTGCTCTCTTAATGTTTTCCAGAGGTGCTTTCAAATCACCAAGTCGAAAGCATTCAATGCAATTGATTTTTATTTCTTTCATTTAAAAATGCAAAATAATTTTACTGTGAATTATTTTCTTTTAACCTGCTGACCAACAAATTAACATGTAATATTTTTAAATGAAAGGTCTGAAAATGGTTCCCAGAGTTGTACAGGTTCCTAACTTGTTGGTCAAGATATCATTATTAGTTTATTCCCAGCAACAAAAATGAGAACTCTCTTTGAAAACCCTTAACTGGATTTAGTCCTTTTCACTCATTAGGTGTGACTAAGTTTGTCTTTTAGGTAAAACATGGCTGAAGATTTCAGTCAGTCAAGTTTATTTGTGCAGCACATTTCAACAACAAGGTTTTGGATCCACAGGGCCGAGTCGCAGGTTCAGACGAGTGGTGGAAACGATTCAAGCCCAGCTTCTCAGCTCTCATGATCAGCCACTGGTGCAAGCCCTATGTGGTAAGACTGCCTATCCATGAGTTTTAACTTCAGCGAAGCAGAAATTCATTTATTTTAACTTGATCTCAAACTTTGACCCTTTTCTTAAAAATTTGGACCTTTCAACCTTGGACATTTTGAAATGAATCTTATTTTTTCAACTTTCAAAACTGAAAATTTCCACGTTTTTTTTTTCTAGAAAATTTCAGAGATTAATCTAATTGGATTGGTAATAATGCACCATCTATACCCTGGGAGTGACTTTCCTGTTCTGCTCTGTTGATCCCTTCCCAGATGAGAAGAGCAGTCGTCCCCACGGGACCCCCACCCGCCAAAACTCGAGGCGCTCTGAGGGTGGGGGCGACAGGTGCGAGTGGGGCGACCGAGCAGACGGCGGAGGCATCGGAGGCAGCGGAGGAGTCCTGCAGCGCAGAGGCTCGGCCAAGGAGAGAACCCGCCTCCTGTCCTCTAACGGAACCCAGTCCCAACCGTAGGATAGAGAGAGAACACGCTGCAGGATGCTTGAGCTGCACCAGAAACCAGACAGTAATAACTCCACCTTCAAGTTTCCCTGCGAGCTACGAGCCACCCCGATTCTTCCTTGACTTCGTTACTGAAAGTGCTTAACCGTATCAAGGATTGAGCCGTTCTCCCCTCCCATCTTGCATTGTTTTGCCAACATAATCTTGATGTTCTGGATCACCATTAGTCCTACCTTTAAAAGAGGAAGAAATTTTAAGAAACCACCCTTTAATTTAAAAAAAGGAGTGTGAGAATGAGCAGTTTGGTATCCATCCATTAAAAATGTAGCTTCCCAAATCAAACTGAAATTTTTTGAAGTGCTGATGTGCATGCCACGACCGGATAAAATAGTCTGTCATAGCATTGGTTCACGTCCAAAATTTACTCCTTAAATTAAAGGTGGCGCTCATGTCCCTGCCAAGCAACACGCAGATAATAGTCCATCTGGAGAGAAATGTAAATGTATTGCAGCATAAAAACTTTAAATTTTAGCAACCTGCCACCAGGAGGTTCCGCATTTCTCTTAAGAAACTGCATCCTGGAGTTCCAGCAGCGGCTTTTGTTGATCTAAAGAAAGCCAACAAGTAAGCTAAGTAAGTGAATGTGAAAAAACTTATTTTTTTATTTTGGTTTTTATTTGTGTTAATGTATTTCCTTTTATTTGAGGATGTCAGTAGCACAGTGGTATTGGTGAAGACGGCAGCAGAAACAGTCTGAACGTTGTTGGCATACGTTGAGTTGTTTTGTATTTCCTTTTTACTCAGAGACGGTATGAAACAATGCATCTATGATTCTGCATTGGACCCTTGTTGCTTTGGTTGCTTTGGTTTGAACAGATATATGAACATTGCTATAGGGGTCGTGTGGAGGGCCTTGTTAATACGTGAGTAGATCTCTGACCCTCGTTGGAGGTGTTTGTGCCCAGACTGAATCAGAAGATCATTCCTGACCTTTGGATCAACCAGAAAGCACCTCTCATCTGAAACTTGTCTCCTCTTGCCATTGTATTCACATACTGACTTGTAAAGAAAAAACAAAAAAACACAAAACAGGAAACTCATGAGTGGACATTTTCATGACGCTGGACTCACAAGGTTTGCACAGGACTTAAAAAAAAATAGGAAGCAAGCATCTCCCAACAGCCCCGCGCTCCTCATCTGAGTGTTCACCAACGAGCCAAGCGTTGGATCTCCAAGTGTCACGCCATTGGACAAGCACGACGTAGCAACTCGGACATCCACGTTACCCCAGTACTACGCCAGACCATTCAGTGTTCTTCACCAGTCTTCCATTCAGCACAATATGCAACAAAGTGCAGGAGTTTCAGTTTTTCATTAATTTATTTGATTATTTATTTATTTATTTGGTTATTTATTAATTGATATATTTAATTTAGAGTTCGGTTTTGCCATATGTTGGTTTACAAAGTGTATTCCATGTCATGAGAACCATTTTAATAACAATCTAATTCACTCATACTCACTCTGATTTTCCTTTCCTGCTCTGATAGATGTGTTGACTCGTTTTCTTTACGTTTGAATCTCAAGCTTCTCATGCTTATCTCTGGTATCTGGAATCTGAGTGAACTGGTGACTGATGACTGAGTGAGAGAGAGATTAAAGCTTCGCAGCAGATATACGTTGAGCTGATTCCGCATGGCGACTTCGCCCAACCTAACCATATCAAATTAACTACCGAAGCCAAACCCCGCAAGGCGCTGTTTATTTCTCTTTTACACATTTTTAGCGTTCCCTTCACTCATTTGCCTCTCTTCACTCCCCGCCACCCCATCCATACCAGACAAAATGTACAGAGTTGTTCGCCTCACTGTTAGTACACACTTCTACGATCGCTCGCCTTCATTTTCGGTTTCATTTCTCAAACCACCTTCACTCTCATTGACCCAGCCCTGGCTAAGATTGTAAACTATTCTCCATTCATAAGGGTCAGTAGAATAAGGTGTTTAAAAACATGAAGTGTCTGTATCATAATTTAAATATAAAAAGTGCACTATTATAACTATTGCCTGTGATAAAAGAACAATTATGATTGAATTGATGGTCAAAATAAAGAGAGATTCACATTATTGTTATGGTGACAATAATAAACCCTAAATTTATATGTGTGTCTATTTACTTTCTTAGTTACAAAGTTTGTTTACCTTCCACTTTCTGTATCCAAGTGTTTTAATGATATGCTGTAACACTTAAAGCTACTACACATCCTTTTCTTTTTGTATGATTAAATTCTCCTTATGTAGTTTGTCATCTAGAAAATAAGATGCCCTTGTCCGTTTTAGGTAGGTATTTAAATCAAGAATAATCTACCCTCACGAAACCAATCTTTCATAAGCACATGCCCGTGATGACATCACACAAGGTGAGTTTATATTTATTCCTTGTTTTTCCCCCTTTTTAGTTTTGTTTTTTAAATCAAATTCTACATTTAATAAGTGTTTACCTGTGTTCTGATTTGAGAACACCGTATTTAAGGAAATATAAACCACAATTAAAATGGTTTGTTAAGAGAATCAGGTCCAAGGAGGACCAACATAGAGAGTGATCATAATGAAGGCAAGCTATAGGAACTGTAGTCTGGTTGATGTGTTTCATTAAGATGATTCTCTGCTGTTTCCTGCAGAACTGCTGCATCACCGCCATACTTTTGCATGAAAGTATAACCAGGGAGACAGACTCAACTTACATCTCCAGTACAGTCTGCCAGCATCATTCCAGTCAAAACTAAAATGAATATCTATATGATAATGCATGCTATTGTTTTGTTATGGTGGTGCTTTCAATTTCATCATGGTAATTTATCTATGGTGCTTGAAGTCGCGTTTTTTTCCACAGAGAATGGCTATAAAAAGGTTGAAAGTTTACCAAAAATGTTGTTGGAGAACTTTTAAACAATATACACTTTTTTTTTTTCTTGAGATGGATTTGTGTATTACGAAATCAGTAAATCTATTAGGGTATGAAATGAATACCATTTATGTGATAAAAAAACAGACAAATTAAGTCAGTGTTTTTTTATATTATTATATCCAAAATGTAGTATTGTGATATATTCAAACTTTTATCCAAAACTGGAATCGTGCGCATCGGTTCAGGAGCGACCTTCAAATCGTAATTACCAAATCTCCGACACTCTTTGAAGGCAGCATCCACTCATCCGCGCGAGCATCTGTTGTGGAGCGCAGTCGCGGAGGAGGAAGGCTGAAAGCGACGGGACTCTACCGGGGTCGACGTCAGAAGTTAATAGTCTGTTCCTGCTTCACTGAATCCTGGACATTTCGCCTCCTTTAATAAAAACAGGTGAGTGAAAGACGCGTCGCGGGAGAGAGGCCGCATCTTTGGCAGACCATTAGCAAACCTTATCAGTAGCTGTTTTGGGGCTGGGCGCTCCGGCTAGGCAACACTAGCATCAGCTAGCGTTGATTCGGCTGTCACTTTTAGCGACAGCTCGGTTTAACTGCCCTACATTTGTAAGCGTATAAAAGACCAGCATGAATTTATTACCTCAGTAGCCAGACAAAGCGTTTCTGCTGCTCTTCTACGTTAAAATCCACTTTACTTTGGGATGACTTAAAGAATGCGGTTGGTTTCATTGTCGGTTAGCCTGTATTACCTGTTAAAGCAATACCTGACCCATCTTCACCAATGGAGTTGAAACATTAGCTCCTGTCAGTTGAAAATTCACTGATCCGAGCGACACTTGCTCCAGAGAGGTCAGAGCACATTACACTTGACTTATATCGTTTGATTGGCTTTGAAAGAGCTTACGCTCATGTAATTATTCCTTCAGGAATGGGGAACACCTATATTTCCACGTAAAGGGATTAATCAAATTGTGAGGGCTCTGAATGTTACTGTAAGTGTTTTTAAGTAGCCCATATGTTGTTAGCAATAATATAAGGAAGTGTTTTTGCTTATTGACAGTAATGGGAAGAGTCATGCCATAAATATTTGTAATTAACACACAGGTCAGTAGATGTTTGTGGTTGTTTGTTGTTTTTTCCGTCTTCTTGTCATTCATCTCTGACAAGCAAGTTTAGTTAAGAGGTGTTGTTGAATCCACCCGGAGGCCATAAAACCAGACCCACACCAATCTGGCTTTTCCTGACAGATACTGCTTTCTGGTTTACTTTGAAGTCTGACCTGCTTGTTCTGACTTTGACAGGTTAGGTTTACACACAAGAGAAAAACGTGGATTAGAGGTTGTTTGGTAGCTGTAGTAGTTTAAACCCAACAGAAAATTAAAGGACTGCGAGGCTATCTCCATTTATAATGCATCACATCAGTTTTACCTATCAAAAAAACATCTTCTGTTAACTGGTACATTTCTAACCTAAATAGTGAGACGTTTTTTATTTGCTGCATTTAACAAAGAAGGAAAATAATGTAGTTTTTTTTAGTATTTGAGCCAACCAAAGGAAAATTACAATTACAATTTCAATTGCTTTCCGCATCTCTACATGAAAATCAAGTCTTCAATTTTAGCTTGTATTTGACAAAGAAAAGTTGCATCATTTAGCTGACATTTTTTGTTTATTCTAAAAGAATTTTTTTTAAGCTTAGTGCTTCTCGGCTACTGTAAAGTCATCTTCTTGCGTGTGAATTTAGATTTTTACTGTTGTTTGTTTGACCTGGAATGCATCTCGTGTATTTTTCCATGCAGACACCTTAGTGATCTAAATGCCTCGGAGGCATTTACCTTTGTCCCAGTTTATACAAGCCCTGCCCTCAGTCCTGCTAAGGGTGCCTCCCATCTGAGGTTGGGTTCTTGTAATTTTTCAGTTGTCCATTTTTTTTTATCTTGTATTATTCACACCTTTTATCCGGAACCTGCCGCTCCTTATGGATGTTATCCAAACCCTTGGTGCCGTTTTACATTTTGCCGCAATGAAACCACAAACTTTAATTTGCTTTCTTGGGATTTCACATGACAGACCAACACATAGTGGGGCTTATTTGTGAGGCAGAATGAAAATCGTATGTGTTTTGCACATTTTTTGCTTTTCAGGTACATGTCTTTGTTGTGTTTTATTTATGTGTTTGATTTTACTTGCATATTTAAATAAGTTCCTAAAGGCTCTATAAAGTCACCTTCCCTTTCATTTTGTTACTGTATTTGTTGACAAAATGTGTGTAGTTGTCATTTTAACCTTGTTTTGTATAACATCTGTTTTCAACAAGACAAATTACTCATTGTTCAAAGACAACAGATGAAAAATATTATTTTGGCTAATTCTGGTGCATTTGCAGAAATGCTGATTAATGTGCAGTGTCCCTGCCAAGAAAATTAATACATTTCAAACTAAATTGAACAGATTATGTCAGGACACAGGTTGGCTGGAAACAGATGCATGCCACGTTTCTTTTAGATTTTTAATTAAAAGAAAAACAAAACATAAAATCATGTATTGTTTTCCTTCTACAACAACATTATTCACTACTTTGTCTCACATAAAATCCACAAATGTACATCAGAGTTTCAGGCTTTATTAGGACAAAATGGGTCCCGATGTATTAATATTTTAACCAGCTGCCCTATGCATAAACTCTTACCCCCTTCTACCCTGAGATTGTTTAATGGCATACCAACCTGGAGCCTGTTTTTTTTTTTTTTTTTTTATATATATATATATATATATATATATATATATATATATATATTTTTTTTTTTTT